ATAAATTCGTATTTTCGTACATTACAGTTTACGTTTACGTTTGATTCTGCAGAACTGTCTTCCGTGCTTTTACGAACGAGTTTCTTTGTAGTTTACACTTACATTTTGATCCTATTGATAACTGCAAACTATCCTCTACAATTTTACGAACGAGTTTCAACATTTAGACGTAAAACTGCATTTAGACGTAAATCGGCTTTCCTCGCACAATCATCAGATCACAGTTCACGTTTACGTCTTGATTTCAACTGCATACTGCCTTCTGCGAGTATACAAACGAGTTTCAAAGTTCAGACGTAAATCTGCGTTTAAGACGTAAATCTGCGTTTAGACGTAAATCTGCGTCTAGACGTAAATCTGCGTTTAGACATAAATCTGGTTTTTGCAGATTACTTTTTGAGCTGTACAACAGCAGAACATTGTCTTTATACTTATGCTTAAACTGCTCCTAGACGCAAACTGTGTTTAGACGCAATCTGCGCTTAAACGCAATCTGCGCTAAGACGCAAACTGCGCTTAGACGCAATCTGAGTTTAGACGCAATCTGCATTTAGACGCAAACTGCGTTTAGACGCTAACTGTGTTTAAACGTAAACTGCACTTAATCATAAGTAATCTTAGAATCGGCTTTTGCATCAAAATAGTCTTTATCGAACGAACGCAGCTTTCGTTTTTTAATCGCTGAAAAATATCCGCTGCACTAATTCACCCCCCCCTCTTAGTGCTCTCGATCCTAACAGTAATACCGCCCAGTGATAGTGTGTCAAGTGGTAGTACCGCCAGATAGGACGGTGGTAACGTCCATACCCTGAAGACCTGGAAGTTTAAATTTTTGGCTTCATTTTTAAAACCATTTGGGGCCTATATATACTCCACTTGGGCAACAAGAATGCAACAAGAATTCTAGAGAAAAAAACTGAGTAAACTCTGTCAAAACTTTTAGTTCCCTCCTCCTAGTGCTTAGAGTTAGTCCTAAGTGAGGTGTGTGAGAAAATACTTGTAAATATTTTTTCCTAAACTTGTAAAAATGAGAAAATATTATAAGAGGGTAATTGGTCTTCACCCATTGAAGGAAGACTTATAGTGGATGTCGATAGCCTCAACGGAAGAGAAATCAAGAGTGGATGTAAGTCATAATGATCGAACCACTATAAAATCGATTTGTTGCTTTTTACTTTGCTGTTTACCTTTGACCTTTGCTGCAAATCATTTTACTTGCTCACTACTCTACTTCCTTATTACACCCTCCTCTTAATGCCGACTCATTCCTAACATACTCTACTGAATCAAAATAATTATGTCACGATACAAATTGACATAATCATTTCTACTCTATAGGAAATCACCTCTATAACGGAGACGGACACAAACACATGCAAGAGCAACGTAGATTGCATTTTCTCTTTTTTGATTCTCAAATAGCTCATGGTGTTATAACCCACCCCCTCATCGGATATCTTTGAACTTTAATATCGAAGTAGAGTCGTTATAGAACTCTACATATTTCTTTATTTTGTAGGTCTCTCCAGATACTATATTACCATTTAAGATGAACAAACAACCAGAACCTTGGCCTCTAATATTTTTCCTTGGTCCTCATTGAGCGCGAGACGTCAGCACTCGAGTAAAAGAAACTAGTTAGCTCCATCCTCTCCCTTCGTACGAATGATTGAACCTTAACTCATCAAATCTCAACATGATATATTGGTAGATTTATTAAGCCTTAATCAAGTCTAATTTTGACTTAAGACAATTACAAACTCAAATCATATTACCATTAGAGGACACATTTCATTTAAGCTCAAAGCTCAAATCTCAAATCATATTTAAGAAATTTTTTATTTAAATATCTACTACAAGCATGAGTCAAGCACTATTTCAAATATAGTATTTCTGGATCTTGTTTGCACTATATTTCAAATTTATTATACTAATAAATTTGTTTGCAAATTGTGTCCGAAGATTCAATGGTAAGGAATGCAACGATACTGTCCTCCTTTACTAATCCACACCAATAAGTAAGCACTTCCCAAACCCAGTAACAATCGAAAGATCAACAATACTAGTCGTCATATACCTACCTCATCATAATATTAAATCTAGAAGCATTAGAATGGATTAATTAGCATAATGTCATTATGGCCAGAACACTATCCTTCGTTGTTTATTGATTCTAACGGTGGCTGATTGACCAACTCAGCCATCGACAGGAACATCTGGCTTTTCCAACCCGTTCAAATGTCACGTTCAACCATCGCACGCACCTTGTGACTACCTCTCGTGGCTGCTGCTGCTGCTTCGTCTTCTTCCTCTTCTTGGGTTTTGCTTTCGACAGCAAAAGGCCTACACCTTGTTCATGAAGGCACCACCCCTTTGTCTTTAATCATCATGGCCTTTGCCGAGTGGCCAAACCACACTACGTGTTGCTTGGGAAGCAATTCCAGTTCATCCAAGTTGCATCCACAACGTTCAATGCAAGAAATCTATCCCCAAAACAAAGGCTGGAGACAAGGCATCATAAACTGCTCCCCTTTTGTTGTTTGCTCACTGCCAAACTAATTATAATTTAACATGCAGCACAAATATTTATTTTTGTTAACGAGAATAACAAGGATATAAACTCTGAAGACAAGGGCGTTTTCGTCAGCGTGGGGCCAAAGAATCTTCTCACGCAGGACCTCGAAGACGTCAGTGCGCGTGTAAACGCGCTCCACCCATCTGTTATCCCGAAACTATCCCTGATTCTATGCTTAATACCGATTAGGTCCCTAGGGATCCCGGTTTATCGACCGCTTCCTCTCGATCCAACGGCAACGATTCCACGTGGTCCTCGTTGACAGACGTATCGACGAAATCCAACGGCCGTCTCCCACCGCGGAGTATTTGACCGAGATGAGCGCGTTTCCGACGCTTCCGACACCCAACGCGGCTGCCAGTTGGGCAGGTCGCTACGTGTCCGTCTCGGACGAGGCGAAGCGCTCTAAACCCGCACGTGCCCGTAGCTGTTCTCGCACCGCACGGTCGCCGCCGGTCGCCCGAGGGCGTCAGATAAATAACGCTCGGAAGGGAGTTCAACTGCTTGGATAACGCGAAATTAAATCGGAGCAGCAAAAAGATCGAAAGAAGCCCAAATTGAGAAGGAAATCAGAAACCCTAAGAGGAAGAGGAAACCGAATTCTGCTGCTGTTCTTCGAGCTAGATTACTTGAAGGTCGGATTTTGAGGAGATTTTTGGTCGCTCCTTGTCGAGGGGATTCGATTGGCACCGGGGAAGTGGGGGTTCTTTTGGATTCGAGATGGTGGCAGAAGCGGAGGTTATCCACCAGAGCCTCGACGTGCAGTGCCGCGTCGCTATGGAGATTGACGAGATCGTCGATATCTCCGCAGCGGCAGCGGCAGCGGCGGTAGCAGAGCTGGGACCCGAGGCTGCCGCGGTCACGGTTGATGTTACCGTTTCTGAGCTGGTTGGTTTAGACTCTTCTTCTTTCACCATTTATTTCTCTTTCTTGGCCCTTTTTCTTTGCTTTTTCCAAACTATTTTTTATTCTTTATGATTCTATCTTTATTCTTCGGTCTTGTTCTCGATTCCTCATATCATTTGAAAGATTTAGGGGCTGGAACCATAGATTTTTTATTCCCTAGTGATATCGGTGCAACCAAAATCATGTGTTTGTAATTGATTATCTCTCAAATACTCTTCGTTTAGTTCAGTAATAGAAAATTCATTATGCTCCATTTTTTCTGTTTCTGTTCAAAAAGTTCTTCTTGGGTTTATTTGTAGAAATCTTTACTTGGCTAATCTATTTTAGCACTTAGTTTGCGCTTGTTAAGCTTTCAGATCCATTTGTTTAGCTGCAGTAATTTATTAGGTAGCCTGGTGATGGACTCGTAAAGATATGTTTCTATGCTCTCTCAGCTTACGTTATGACCAAATTGACATAAAATCGATTGATAATAGCTTCTGGTTAGGTTATGTTGCTTTAAAGAGTTATTTTCCGAATAAAGAATATAGAATTTTTTTTCCCTGCACACAGTGAAAGTTTAACTTCTGATTTGGAAATGATAATCGTGCATTGAAAGGCACAGAAGCAGGAAGGGTTAACGCATATCGTTATGCCTGTTAAATTAAATAAGTCATGCTGTCATCTCAAGAGTTGTTGAGCATCCCTGGTTGTTTGTATGTATCATCTTTCCTGAACTATTTAGCTCATTTCATTTGTTGTACCATTACCCTGATTTGGACTCTGATATATGTCTTTGTCTCCTGAACATGTTTGCCCCTATTAGGTTGGTTGCTTGTGTTTTGGTATCTGGTACTGTGTTTTATTATCTCGGTACTTTGGTTTCTATCTCCCTGCATTATTTGTCTTGTTTTCTGTGCATGTAGGAATTGAGAAAGTCAGATGCCATTTTGGATATTTCTGTAAAGCCACTTCTGTTTGTTCCCAGCATCCGGTCTGGTAGTTTTGCTGACATTGGGCACCGGAGATACATGGAAGATGAGCATATTCGTATTGACAATCTCTCATCACATCTAGGCTCTCTGCTTAGGTGCCCTATGCCTAGCGCCTTCTATGGGGTAAGAAATTGATCAACCTCTGATGTGGAACCGGCTTTGCATTAGTTCCTAACTAAAAGTTGGTAATGATGGGGTTTCCTATTTTTCTGCAGGTATTTGATGGCCATGGAGGTCCGGATGCTGCTGCTTACACTAAGAAGCATGCAACTAGGTTTTTGTTCAAAGATGCTAATTTTCCTCGGGCATCAGAAGCTGATAACAATTTTGTAGAATCTGTAGAGAACTCTGTTCGGGAAGCATTCCTTCTTGCTGATCTTGCTTTGGCTGAGGACTCCACTGTTAGCAGTTCTTCAGGGACTACAGCTCTCACAGCTATGGTGTTTGGAAGGTTTGTTACTTTGTTTTTCTTCGTCTTCCTTTTGTGTTTTTGTTTCCATGTATCAGTTTTAGAGCTGTGTTAATCCTTTGCTGATCTGTCTTCCCTACTGGGTGCAGGATTCTCCTGGTAGCCAATGCAGGTGACTGTCGAGCAGTCTTATGCAGGAAAGGTGAAGCAGTTGATATGTCGCAAGATCATAGGCCCATCAATGCAGCTGAGCGGCAAAGAGTTGAACAGTCGGGGGGTTTTGTTGATGATGGGTACCTCAATGGCATCCTGTCCGTCACACGAGCTTTGGGAGACTGGGACTTGAAAATGCCGCGAGGTTCTCCCTCACCACTCATTGCAGAGCCAGAATTCAGGCAGGCAATGCTGACCGAGGACGATGAGTTTCTAATAATCGGTTGTGATGGAATATGGGATGTCATGTCAAGCCAACATGCGGTTGGTGTAGTGCGCAGGGGCCTCAGGCGGCATGACGACCCTGAACGGTGTGCGAGGGAGCTCGTCATGGAGGCACTAAGGCTCAACACAGTTGATAATCTCACAGTGATCGTGGTCTGCTTTTCGGATGAATATGGTGGGTCCTCTGCTTCACCATGCCATGAGCCAGGGCAGCAGCAGCAGCAGCAGCAGCAGCCCAGGACGAGGTGTTGCAAAAGCTTGTCGGTGGAGGCCCTCTGTAATCTGAGGAGCTTGCTGGATAATGGTGGTAGCAATTGACTGGAGTAGAACGTGGCTTCGATGTACATAAATTTGGTGACGATGCTGAAAATTTATAGCAAGTTATCATCCTAATTTTGGCTGCTCGAGGGGGTACAAACAGCAGCTAAACAGTTTTGTAGGTCGTCTTGTTTCATTGTTTCTGTGGCCGGGGTGATGGAGGCACGGCATGTAAATAATTGTTTAGAAGTGATTTTAAACTTGATGTATCAGCAATTATAGGTCCATATTCTGAGATACTTTGACATGGTCACAAGTTTCGACTTGCTTGCAAATTATGGATTCAGTGCAAAGTGGGTAATGTGGCGGGTGACAGACGCCGGGAGAAGGATGAGAAACATGGCAGCCGCCTTGTTTGACTGTTGGAAAAGAAAGAAGGCAGGTGGTCGTTTAATCAACTAAGAGACCTTATCTGTCTTTGATGTATATATCAATTCAAAACCATCCAGCAATAGATTTTTCCTCTGATGCAAACATGCACTTTAGTGTCAGTGATTTGTGGGTGCAATGATATTGAGTTAATTCAATAATTCTATAACAATAATAAATAATATGAACACAAACTCAACCTTTATATCAAGTTTTTCAGGTCGGAAAAGATTGTAGAACAGCTGATAAGAAGAAGGAACGATATGAAAGGGGAATGTACTACAACAAACCACAAATTAACACTCTACAGTATGGATATAAGTAGGGTCATAATCATACCACTTCGATGCATCAAAAACTCTTCACAGAAAATTAAAATTTGACAAACCAATTAATGATGGATCCAGACGCATGTATATATATATATTTTGAACCTTCAACCTTTAATACGAGGGTTTAACAAACAACCACCAAACCATTGTTTAAAGTGTCACATTATGTGTTGACTTCATATTGTTGAGTATTTGATTTAAGACCAATTTCGATCGCATAATTATTGGACGGAACTTTGTGGCCAAATTTGTTTGCATTTTGGTTTGAGGGCACTCCTAGCTAGATTCGATTATATTGTCATTAGGGGATACTTTGTAATCAAATTCAATTGTCTTGTTATTAGGGAACACTTCATGGCTTAATCACGTGATCATTAGGAGACGTTTCATAGTCAGATTCAATCAGGTTGTTATTAGTACATGCTTCATGCTATATTCAATCACATTATTATTAGAAAATGCTTCATGACGGCCTTATCCTCATTAATGAATAATTCATGATTAGATTTGATCACATGGTCAATATAAGATACTTCATGGTCAAATTTGATAGATTATATCCCATCATCATTACGATAGATTCAATCACATCATCATTAGGAGACACTTCATGATGGGATATGAAAAAATCATCATTATGAGACACTTAATTGCTAAATTTTTCCATGTTGACATTAGAGTAAGATTTATGGTTGGATTTGGTTATGCCACATCCCAGAGTTTTTAAAAAATAAAATATTATTTTAATATTCATAATTTATGAAAGATTTTTTATTTTTAAGTTTAAATTCTTATCTTTATAAAAATAAATATTTTATTTTTAACTAGAAAAAGGATCACATCTTATCTTCTTGGTAGGATTACAAGTGACAAAAAAAAAGCTCTTCTACCTAAGCCTCATATCTATTACAAAATAGTATGTTATTTTAAAAGTAAATATAAGATAAAAACATATCAACAATCATACATATCGGTAGAAATCTTTAAAAAATTAAAAATAATTTTAATATTCATGAGACATATACAAATATCAAAAAATTAATACAAAATGGTAACACATCAATTCATTTTAAAACTCATATATTAAAAAAATAATGATAATCCTAATGTAGTAAATAAAATCATGTATCAATTATATGTAACACATCTCAATGATATACATAATAATCAAATAACAAAAACATACATCACACCCGATGGTGTACTCTCCCAATAGCGAATAGAGATACATATTCTACGGGATAGATTCCTTCGAACAATAGATAGAAAAAACCCATATTACATTCCCAATTATGAATGGAGTAGTATTTGTCACTCGTCCAAGTGGGGATACATTCCTTTCAATAGTGGACGGAGGAAACATATAACCATCATGTTTGATAACCCGTTAATCTTTAAAGGAAATTGCCCTACTTACCCTTGTTAGGGATACAAAAATAACAATGATCATTTATTTACATTTATTCATTCACGCATGTATCCAAAATAACTATGATAAAATATTATGAGAGACCATGATTAATTGATAATCTTTTAGACTATGTCCATTAATGACTCTACATTATAATAGGCTCGTAGCTCTTTTCACATGTTGCACTTCTAATGTAGTATATCACTAGTATAATCACATATACTATATGGTAATAGTCATATCAATATCATAAATTTAATTTAAAAAAAAATAGAAAACCAATAATCATTTCCAAATGATAAATTCATATAAAATATTTAAGTTCATCAAATCATAAAAACACAAGAGATCAATCTCTCAATAGTTCTCAATCAATCAAAATCATAATGGGAATAGCTTAATTGACTTAAATAAACCCAATTCAACTAGGATATAACGGAACAAATCTCAAATCCTTATAGAATCAATTTAGAATCACCCTGGTTTAATTTATATTTAATTGATTTCAATTAGATTAAGTAGTTTAAACTAGTAAAGTTGGTTTAGAATCACCCTAAACCAATATGAACTGATTAAACTTGTCTGCTTCAATTAATTGACGAGCTCAAACTAACAAAAGAAGAGAAACTTGGACTGTGTCATATAGTGCTAGCCTAGATCAAATCAACCCACCTAAGTCTTGGATGGATCACATGTGCCATATATGCCTATCCCAAGTAATAGGTTGAGTGAGGTATAATGGGTTGGATGGAGAGACGACAATGTGTCTTATGCTAATTGCATAACAGGGCGAGCCTAGCTTCATGGGTCAAGCTGAGCCTCACTCATAAGTTAGGCTAAGCCTTATCACTAAACTAGACCATGCTTGGCTTGCAAATTCAATCATACCTAGCCATATGATTTGGGTCACGCTTGACCACATGGGCTAGGTCGTGTTTGGCCATATGAGTTGGATCTGTTAGGAACGAGTCAGCACTAAGAGAGGGAGGGGGGTAAAATTAGTGTAGCGGTAAAAATATCAGTTCTAAAAATATTTCGTATGATTAAAATCGATTTCGAAAATGCTTAACTTTGAAAGCAATAAGAAGTCAACTTGTAGTTAAAGTAAAGTGCTCAAAGGAAACATAAACTAGATTTTTATAGTGGTTCGGTTGTCGTGACCTACATCCACTCCATCGATTTCTCTTCTGTCGAGGCCACTGGCATCCACTATCAGTCTTCCCTCAAAAGGCGTAGACTAACCACCTTTTACAACTCGATTCTCTTTTTACCTAGTTTAGGAGATAACCCTTACACCCCCCCCACTTACTCTTCTCTCAAACTATTCTAACACTTAGAAGAAGGAGAGGAGTTCACACAATATTGTAGCAGCGTTTCTTTCTTTTTTTACTCTCAAGTCTTATATTTTTTAACCAGAGATGAGAGAGGTATTTATAGGCTTCAAGTTGATTCAAACTTGGAGCCTAAAAATATCTTATCTTAGGTTTTCCGGGTATGGGCAGTACCACCGCCTAGCATCTTGACACTGGGTGGTACCATCGCCTAATAGAGCTCGGAGACCGACCTCTAGCCGTACCACCGCCTGATAGGGGCGGTACCACCACTAGCAACATTTACTACTAGCGGTACCACCACCCAGACCACCTAGGAGACTGAGTCTCCCAAGTAGTGCCACCATCGGCTGGGCTTTTAGGTACTGAATGAGTTATTCAATATGACCCAATTCAGCCCTATTAAGGGCCCAATTGACCCTTAATTAAGTTAGTGGGATTACCTCCCAATCCTAACGTAATTTATAGACTAACTATAATATTTAAGACAATTGACAAAGCATTCTAGTTCCAGTACGTCAATTGCTCTTCCGGTGAGCTTCCGGCGATCTTCCGACGAACTTCCGACGAACTCCAGACAATGTTCCAATGGACTTCTGACAAGCTCTTGAACTTAACAACGATCTTCTTGGCAAGTTCCGACGAGCTTCTTTGGCAAGCTCATAGACTTCTCGGTTGGTTCCAATAGAACTTCCAATGAACGTCTGGACTTCAGACGAACTCTCTAACTCCCAACAAAATCGCGTTCTTGACTCTGGGACTTCATTTTGCTTGATGTCTTGCTATCATAGTTAATCCCACACACATAAAAACAACTTTGATCTAGACAATTATTACAAAACTTTAAATCATGTTGTCCGGCATGCTATTGGGTAATCGACACTTCGTCTGATTCTTCGACGCATCGTCCTCTCTTGTGGCTTATTGCCCAATCGGTCAATTGACCTCTGCAACTCCGATATCCTTGGCGTAATATATGCTTTTCTTGGCCTGATGCCTAAATTCATGGCTCGAAGCCTTCTACCGATACGTCAACCGATCCTTCGGCACGACGTCCAATCTTCTGACATGTTTGTTTGCTCCAGCTCAACATGATTCTTTCTGCTTCAATTGTCTCTCCTTGATCGAAGCTTCCTGTGTCACTCAAAACGCATATCAAATCATAAACACTTATCAATTGGTTTCATAATCAAAATACGAGATTTAATAGGATCATGCTTAATCACATCAGTTATGTCATACTTAGCGATGTTGGTTAAGCCGTACCTAATCACATGAGCTAAACTATACTTGACCACATGGGCTTGATCATGCTTAGTTATATAGGCTAATTTGTACATGGCCATATGGGCTATGTTATGCTTGGCTATATGAGTTGGACCGTGCTTGACCACATAGATTGGGTCATGTTTAACAATATAGATTGGACCATATCTAGCCCATATAAGTTGGATCATGCCTAACCACATGTGTTGGACCATACCTAGTCACATATGTTGAGATATGCTTAACTATATGTACTAGGTTGTACTTGGCCATATGGGCTGGTTTGGTCAATCAACTTAACTCACGTCAAACCCCCAATTTAACCCATCTTATTAAATTAGATTTTTAATATTTTAATTATTAAAAAATAACTCAAATCTATAAATTAAATAATTTAGAATAACGGTCTTAAATTTAAAACTAATTAATTTATAAAAATTCACACATAATTTTTGAAACATAGATATATCTAATTAAATAAATTAGAACTATCATGTAAATCTAAAAACTTAACAACTAAATCAATCTTG